GTATTTGCCGAAAACTTCGGCAAGTGCCCACATAAATTATGTTTAACAAATTTCCAAGTGAGTTTGGTTAGGAACACAACAAGATTCTGCTCCGTTTCCAAGTATTCTGTTGTTCTGTAGCGCACACGCAGTTTTGGTACTTATTTATCTTCGAGGGCCAGAATACACTGGAAACTAAACTCTGAAGCATATTTCTATACTCTAACCACTAATTAGAGAGAAAGCCAAATTAATATGTAAGCTTATACTAAACACAAAACCGAAAAATTCGAAAGATAAAACAAACAAAAAAATGAGTAAAGAAAAACTGGTACTAGGGCATGGGGTAGAAACTAGAATTAAAACGTATTAACTTTAAAGCCACGAAATTGTAAAATAACATTGGAACAAAAACACTAAATTAACGCTTGCAATTAGTGAGAGGAAAATGAAACTAAAATGCAACTTTTTTAAATGTAAAGAAGCGAAACTGAAATTAAACACTTAAATTTAGTGACACAACCTCGTAGGGATGGTGGAAATTGAGAATGACGCAATTTGAAACTCAATACAATTTTTTATGTATGTTTGTGTATATATCTATCTACATAATATCTATATGAGTAATAAATAAATGCATTGACAACGTAAAACCAAAACTCCTTGAAGCCAATTTATTTACAACAAAAAACGCAAAGCAGCAAGCGAAACATGCTCAAAAAATTTAATAAATTTGATGAAGGAGCGCTCACAAATTACCATTGAGGTTTTGAGATTGCAGACAAGGTGAGTGTGGCTTCATCCCAACTTTTGTTTTGTTTTACTTTTTGGTTTCAACGGAAACTTTAGTTTCGGCCTAATTTCTGTAATTCGTTTAATGCGTTACGTTGCCTTTTTAACACAATAAAAACCCACATTTTCATGTCCATGGTTAGTGTTTTTACTGGTGGAGGTATAACAAACATGCCTACTCTGCCATCTTTTATCGCACACTGGCCCTTATGATTTTTTCTATTATTTTTTGAGCATGTTTTTCCTGCTGAGCTTGCTTTAAAAAAACCCTTACATTTTTGGTTGCGAACGGATGTGTTTCAGTTTCGAAGATTTTACATACGCTTGTATAAGTTTGTTTTAAAAATATTAAAAAAATATATATGTTACGCTATTTAAAGTTCATTTGACATAAATTATTATAAAACAACAGCAGTAGTACTGTATTTAAAAATACTCGATAATTACAAAACGTATTACTCATTTAATTGCTTGTGTATTTCCTTTGCGTTATTTTCCAATCTCAACTCGCACAAACATTGCTCAATTTTCTTCGTTTTCGTTTCACTAAGCTTTTGTAACAACATTCTAACCAACTATTTTCAAACTTTCCTTTTCGCAAAATCTGTCGCTGAGGTAAATCACTTGCTAGCCGCTTTGGATTATAAGTAAATACTTAACATCAATCTTCTCTAACTTTCCACAGAGTGCAATGAATCCGCCTATATGTTTGAGCACCTGTGCTACGATGTCTGCCCGGTGCACACATATCCATTGGACAAGTTCCAAGCGGAGGAGGATGAACTGGATGACGAGGTGACGAGGGGTCCGGTTAATCCCTACAGCAAGACCGCCACGGCTCATTCCCCGTTGGTGTCCAACAACATAGATGACAGGCAGGATCCTCTGCAGGCGGAGGATCGACGTCGTCGCAGTCCCCTGACGCAGCTGGTGGAGGTACCTTCTCGGATCTGTGCCGCCTGCGATCGGAGCTGCTTGGAGTGCTACGGCGCCCTGGCCTCCCAGTGCAGCAGCTGTTCTCCGGGCAGCCAGCTGCGTAAGATCCTGAACGAGACCTTCTGCTATGCCTATGTGGTGCGCAGCACGGGCATGGCCAGCGTGGTGGATATATCTAAAATGGACGACAAGGATACCCAGCAATACCTGACGGGCACGACTGTGCTGCTCCTGCTATCGGTGATTTTCACCCTGATGGGCATTGCAGTGGCCGGTGGAGTCGTGTACCATCGAAAGGCCATGGCTCGATCCAGCGAACTCTACTCCCGAGTTTCTCTATTTCCCGGTGACCTAAGTGACTCTGACAATGAGGACGAACTGTTCACAGCCCACTTCCCAGAAGTCCATAAATATCGAGATGAGGAGTCCAGCAAGAAGATCTCAAATAAAGATGAGATCAGCCACTTGGTACCCTGAATAATCAAATTAAATTATTAGTTAGGTCATGCATTTAGCCATCCCCATAACCACCAGAAATATATATAAACATCATAATCGACGGACAAACACATTTTGGTCTATATTTTGTTACATTCGACGGCATTACTGCTCCTTTATTTCAAGCCAAAATAGATTAAAGTATTAAAAGAAAAGAAAACTAATTATATGCAAATTTTATGCCTTAATAAAATGATTTTAACTTAGCTGACACTATTTAATTACCTAATGAAATGCAGGTGAGTCACTGTAAAATTGATAACGAAAATGATCACGACTTTTGTTATTAAACAACTGCTGCTCGAAACTTTTTGAAGTGGTATAAATCACCGATTTGGCAATATAACACTTCATGTAAAGATAAGAAACTGTTGCATTGATATCACGAACTTTCAGATTGCATCTGAAGCCGTCCTTGACTTTCAGAAGTCACTTGTTGGGATAGACCTATATTGCTTATATGGATGACTGTGAACTGCAATCTCAGCGGTAACAACAATCAATTAGCTAGTGGAAAATATAGGAATTCAGGTGGAAGCCCTGCCAGGCTTATCAGACGGCTTATCACCGGCTGTCTAAAGTGTTCTCCCCCAGTGAGCACTGTGTTGACATCGCTCAAGAGCTTTATTTGTATAAAACGCTGACCGCAGCCGCAGCGAATTTCCTCGATTTTCTTATCGCGACTATATTAGGTCGATCAACCAGTGCATGGCCGGCAGTTGTGTCTTGAGAAACGCACGAGAATGAGGTTTATTTTACTATCCCTGCTGCTGGCATCCTGCTGCCTCTGGGAGGCAGTTCACAGTTGTGCCAGCATCGAGCAGCGCTACAAGTTTCCCAATAGTAATGTGTACGTGCGACTCCGGCGAGGTGATAAGTTGCAGTATGAGCTGATGAAGGGCGACAAGTCGCTGCAGACGGTGACCTTCGACAACTTTGACAGCAGCGCCAATCTGGTGGAGAGCAGCAGTGGTAGCTACCAGCTCACCGATGGCCAAACCATCGTGGAGTTCAGCCTGGTCACAAGCGGAGTGGTTGCCGGCACAGGCAGCGAGATAACCCATGTGAAGGTATCCCGAGATCAGGTGCAGCAGGGCAGCCAACCCAGGGATTGTTTCCCCCTGAAGACCGGATCGACGCACTGGTTCAGTGGCCCAGAGCAGAAGCAGCACTACTGGCCAGTGGAGCGACAGAGGCACAGCAACTATTCCTACCTGCCCAAGGAGCTGGACAACTTTGGCGTGGGCGAGCGATATTGGTTGAATGGCGACGGAGTCTTTTTCTATGTGGAGAGCAACACCCCGCTGTTTATTGACCAGAACACTGCTGCCTATCCGGACCAGCTGTGTCTGAGTGCCATCAGTGCTCTGCCCTACGATCCTCGGGTGACCTCCGCCAAGTTCGTTTACCACGTAGCTGTGGCCAAGGATGCCAAGGCAGCCCATAGGTATGCCGTGAAAACGTTCCACGGCCAACCCACGGGCTATCCCGATGAGCGAATGGTCATGCATCCTGTGTGGTCCACTTGGGCTCTCTACAAGGCCGAGGTGTCCGACGATGTGGTTCGTGAGTTCGCCCAACAGATCCTGGATAACGGGTTCAACAACAGTCAACTGGAGATCGACGATGATTGGGAGGATTGCTATGGCGCCTTGACCTTCAGGAAGAATAAGTTCCCCGACAGCAAGACCCTGTCTGATGACCTCAAGGCCTTGGGCTTCCGTGTGACCCTGTGGATCCATCCATTCATTAACAACAACTGCACTGCCATTTACGATGAAGCCAAGTCCAAGGGCTATCTGGTGCTCGATCACGAGGGAAGCTCCGACACGCAATGGTGGAACAGCAAGCCCAAGGATGCGGCCATTCTGGACTTTACCAAAACTGAGGTTCAGGAGTGGTTCAGCAAGCGTTTGAAGCGCCTGCAGGATGAGGATGGCATCGATAGCTTCAAGTTTGATGCCGGAGAGACCAGTTGGCTGCCCAGTGATCCTGTGCTCCAGGCCAGCAGTTCCATGGTGACACCACTGCAGGCGGTTGGCGACTACGTACGTACTGTAGCCGCCTTCGGAGACATGGTGGAGGTGCGATCAGCCCAGAACACTCAGGATCAGCCGATCTTCGTGCGCATCGTGGACAAGGACTCCGAGTGGGGATGGAACAACGGCCTGCTCACACTGATCTCTTCGATGCTGCAAATGAACCTCAACGGCTATCCCTTCGTCCTGCCCGATATGATTGGTGGCAACGGCTACTACGAGAAGCCACCAACCAAGGAGCTCTTCCTGCGTTGGCTACAGGCCAATGTCTTCATGCCCGCCCTGCAGTTCTCCTTTGTTCCCTGGAACTTTGACGACGAGGCCATTGCAATCAGCAAGAACTTCACCGCCCTCCACGCCACCTACACACCTTACATCATGAAGCTCTTCAAGCGGGCAGTGGATTCTGGTGAACCCGTGAATGTTCCGCTCTGGTGGATCGCCCCGACTGACGAGGTGGCGCAGTCTATCTATGATGGTAATGCCATTACTTACCCTTATATTTAAACACCTATAGCTAATTGCCTTATTTCGCAGAGTTCCTTTTGGGCGAGGACATCATCGCTGCGCCCGTTGTGGTTGAGGGCGCCATCAAGCGAGACATTTACCTGCCGGAGGGCGAGTGGAAGGATGGTAACAGCGACCAGGTGTACACTGGACCCACTTGGGTGATGGACTACGCCGCTCCCTTGGATACCCTGCCCTACTTTTTGCGCGTGGGATTCACCTTGGAGTAGAGCGTAAATCAGTTATGTCTGATCCTTTAGCGCGTATATTAAAAAAAGCGAACAAACTCAATAAGTTAAAAAACTAAAACAAAGTTCACACCGATAATTTGGTAAAATCAAATGGATCGCATCCTTAAATCACATTGGCCGCCATTCGCTTTCTGTTTGGAGGCGAAAAGTCACCCGACCCAGACAGCGAGTTAAGCTGATATCTCTGGCGAAACTGTCCGTACTCTTGCTCGAATTCCACAGCATCCTTGGTCAGGATCTTGCGCAGGTCAATGGGCCTGCAATTAAATGAGCGCACATAAGTTAAATAAAAGCTATTAACACAGAACCGGAACATACTCGACATTAATATTGCTATGCGCCCTCTCCAAGCTCCTTTCGTACATGGCCAGTTTCAGGGAGTGCACCCGCTTGGCAGATCTGCGCCACCGCTTTCTATAGAGATCCTTTTGGCGTGCCAGAGTATTATACCGATAGTGCTGCGATCTTAGTTCGCCGAGAACTTGCTTCAGTTCTCCTTCGTCGGAGCCCTGCGCCTTGAGGTTCCCAATCTGCTGTTCCAAGGCCGCGATGCGCAACTTTAGTTCAGTTTTTTCGGTGTACAACTGAAGGTTCTCCTGCCGCAACTCTTTACTCCGATCCTCGAAGAGCCTAACCTGCTCCTCCATCTCCGACTTCAGTAGGGCTATGTGCTCCTCAAGCTCTGTGAACTTCGCCTCATAGTCAACGCCGGATGCATTAGTTCTTTTGCTTACAAGGCTCTCATCCAGAAACGCCTCTCCCTTGTGTAGTTGATGTAATCTGGCCTCCTGGCTTTCCATCTCCTCCAATTGTTTTACGTAGTGCATCTCTTTGCGTGCCAATTCCTGCTCAAAGAGGTCTATTTGTTGCCTGCGCCAGGACTTGATTTTCTGTCCTATTGAGTCAATTGGACTTAAAGGCTGTATCTCAACTGATGGATTGTCACACGCAGACTTGGACTTTTTCTTCACAATTTTTTTAGCCTGCAAGGAAACCACTTCATCGGTTGGTATTCTATTTTCGGTGTGTTCTGTGCTATCCAGTATAATTGATTTTTTCTTGATTATTTTCTTTTTGACAGGCTTTACTGTTTTCTCCTCTACAGTTTCGTAGTCTACAGCCACAGCATTATCCGTAACCAAAGTCTTCTTAAGCTTCTTCTTTTTCAGGACTTGAACATCCGTCAGCTCAATTTCTCCATCTATAAGCTCTATGCATTTTACTTTATCCTCCACCTTGGAGATACTTTTTTGGCTCTCCTGTCGTAGGCCACTTCTTTTTTTTACACGATCTGCTTGAGGCTTTTCGGTCATAGGACTTGCTTTCCCGGTCCCTCGGGATTCCGACTGCGAAGAGCATTCCTCGACGGGTGTAAGCTCCGCAAGGTTTTGCTGATCCTCGTGTATCGGAACTCTTTTCTTTTTCCTAACAGAATCTGGTTTAGAACCAGACACAGAAATATATTCTTCGGAGTTCCTGACCTCAACCAGAAGGTCTTCCTTTGCCAACGCTCTCAGTTTTTGCCTATCACAATCCCGTTTGGGATGAACAACAGTCACCCGCTGTTCTGTTTCTGTGTAAACAAATTCAGCTGATCCTGGATGGCCTTCCGACAGAGAGATATACTCTTCAGAGCTCGCCAAATCGTTCAGATCCATGGGATTTTCACTTATCAATGTCACAGGATCCGTTTCAGGCTGACCGAGATTGATATCCTCCTCATAAGAGCTTTCAAGATCGATTCTCTTGACCTTGTCCTCTTCGGATTTTCCAAGTTTCTTTTTCGGCTTGGCAGCTTTGGCCTGACCGAGCGCCATCTGATCCTCGTAGAGGACCTCGTCGAGCTCGGCACGGCAAGTCTCCTGAAGAAACTTTTCCGTTTCCACCAAGGCTTGAGTCTGCACCTTATTAACCTCCACCCAACGGGCCCGAAGGTTTATATCGCCCGTAGAGGTTTTAGATCTCCTTTTTTCCAGAGCACTGGTGGATGAATCCTGCAGTTCATCGGAAATTACTAGTTTGGATTTGGTTTTGCTTTTCTTTCGGATACTAAGAACACTTATGTCTGTTTCTAAATCAGTGTCCATGTGCGCTGGTGGCTTCACAGTTTTGGGAGCTCTCGTTTTTTTGGAGGAGCTCTGTTTCTTAGGAACAGCATGCTCGTAACTTAAATCCTCACCGTTTCCTTCGTAGTTGTGCGTTTCTAGTTCCATTTGCTCAGTTAATATGGGGTTTTTCTTGATTAGTTCAGAGCTGGAAGCCGGCTTGGATTTTCTTGAAGGTTTTGGTAGGTCCTCAATAGTTGTTTCCAGTTGACTTTCATTTCCCTGCAACTCAAGGTCTGCCCTTTTGGGTTTTCTTACTTTAGGTTCCGATTGCACTAAGGATTCACTTAGACCTGCCTTTAATCTTTGCAACTCATCTATCTTCGCTTGCCTTTTCTCCTCCAGCTCCAACAAGTCCAAAGACTTGAGGTCATCAACATTCTCGAGGTTCTCCGAAGAGTTTCTGGTGTTTCTCAAAGATCTAGTTTTTACATGGCAAGATTCCTGGAGCGATTTTTTGGACTTGCTTGGTAAAGATGTATTGTGTTTCGATTTTGTAGTTGATTTCATTTCGACTTCTTCCGTTTCTGAATCTTGTTTCACTGCGTCAGATCCAGGTTCCATTGTCTCTTCACTGTCATCCAAATTCAAAGCCGTGCGAACAACTGAAGCGGAAAACGTCTTTCCCAAATACTGCTCATCCTCGCTATCCAAGTTAATCTCTTCACTCAATCGGGTGAATTTCTTCCTCCTATTCTGAGCCTTTCGCAAGTCCTTGGGACCATCCGAGTCGGACACATCTTCGCGAGGTAGAGATCGATAGGATCCTTCCGAGGCTGACAGCTCGGCACCCACATTCAGGCTCTCCGAGGACACGTTGTTTTGCGACCGCAAGGTTACTTCGGGGTCCTTGCGACCCTTTGGCACATCGCGGATGACGCCACTGGCAATCGAAGGTGTTGGTTCAGGCTGCTCCTCCTCCTGCTCCTGCCGTGAAAATATCGTCTTGAGGTCCACACTAAAAGTGTACTCCATAAGTGGCGGCTTGGGTTCCCTGCCGCTATCGGTGCGGCCGAATCTGTTAAAGGAAAAGGAGCCGTTGGCGGTGTACTTCCGGTTGTCGGAGAAGAAGTCGTCCGGAGGCAGTAGATTAGTGAAGTCCATGCGGTAATGAGCTGTTTAGCCAATTTCTTAGTACATTGTATTTGAAATCTTTTTGATGGTAATGCTCACCTATGGCCGCGCCATTCATGTACATGTTAATGGGCAAGTAGAAGATGCGCTGAAAGTAGAGCCTCATGCTGCGCAAGGATGTCTTGAAACGCAGTCCCAGGACATCGTTGAGAGTATAGGTGTCGGACTCGTTTAACTTCAGCTCGATGTTGGTTACATTGCCCACGAAGTCGAACACCAGGATCACAGAGCTGGGTGGCTTGCCCTGGTTAAGCGACTTCACCAGCCCGGCCACGTTCCTCAGCTGCTTCAACTGCAGCACCACCTCGATGATGTCGCAGTCGACCAGCGGGTCATTGCCCACCTGCAGCAGGCCCAGTTGCACCAACGACTGCACATAGACGTTGGCCTGCCACAATCAGGGAGAATTGAGATGCATTTTGTGGCAGTGCCATCCAAAACCTGATACTCACCTGCGACTGGAGCATGCTGGCAGTTATCGAGTGTCCGGGCGACTGCATCGGCGGCGTGGGTGGCGATTTGACCTAACAAACATGTTAATATACACTTGGTACCACTGACTCGACCACTTACTTCGGTGAACTGCATAAAGTGCTCGAAGTCCTTGGTGTGGAGGATGGACTTCTTAATAATGGCCAGCAGCAGCAGAACCTCCGGCTTGTGGGAGCGGAACTCACTGCTGAGGCAGATGAGCTTGTGCCAGAACATCTTCAAGTGCGGACTATTCTGGCTGCCCACCGTGCCGAGCACCGGCAGTCCTCGGACAGGCAGGAGCAGCGTTCCAATGGTTTTCCGCTCCGCTCCGCCGCCACGGCAAGCATAGAAGGTCATTTTGACGGGACGGTGATCGGTTTTAATGCGCTTGATCCCAGCCAGGTCGCACTCCCAGATGCAGTTGCTGTTGAAGATGACGGTCTCGTCCGACTGAGTGCCCTCCACCTCAAAGTCCACACCGTTCAGGGCGGCGTTCATCGCTATCTGCTCCCGGTCAGTGGCATCGCGGCCAATGAAGTTTATGGCTGCAATAAGGGTTAACTATCAGCTTTAGGAATGTCAGGTACCACATTTGACCCACCCTCAACCACGTGGAGCAGTACGCAATAGACCTGGTCGGATTCCCTGGAGCTGACACTACCGCCTCGGCCACCACTGACTGTCGCAGAACGAGGTGCCTTGAATGGCTTGACCATCCTTGTGTACGGGGTTAAATGTCGATTTGGAGAGTGTTTAACTTTCAAAGCAAAATTTATACGTGGATGATCGCGAGCTATCGCATCTGAGTTCCGCTACGATCCTCCTTTTCCGTAGTTACCTCTGCTTTTATGTAGTTTTGTATGTGACTGCTTACTCACTCTGAACGGAGCGGCGAAAGCCACTTGGATTGGTAGTCAGGGTTACGACGGGCGATTAGTATTGAAAGTGGAAAGCAGCTGGAACTAGTGCACTTAAAACAACCCCCGAGGATTTCGAGAGACCAGGGTGGTTAGTGGGATCTTTTTTTTTAATTTTTTTTTAATTTTTCTGATGTGGATGTTGTCGTAATCAAAAAAATTAAAAAATGTCCCACGGCTGAAGTTCTAAACTCCATAACTCAACTTATCTTAATCGGAATTTGGAGTGGCATACCTTAAAATTTTTCTGGCGCAATTCTCTAATAAACTGCATTCAAATTTAGAAATTAATTTTTTTTACATTTTTTTGTAATTTTTCTGATGTATGATGTTGTAGAAATTTAAACAAATTAGGAAATGCCCCAAGGCTGAAGTTCTAAACTCCATAACTCAATTTATCTTAATCGGAATTTGGAGTGGCATACCTTAAAATTTTTCTGGCGCAATTCTCTAATAAACTGCATTAAAATTTAGAAATTAATTTTTTTTACATTTTTTTGTAATTTTTCTGATGTATGATGTTGTAGAAATTTAAACAAATTAGGAAATGCCCCAAGGCTGAAGTTCTAAACTCCATAACTCAACTTATCTTAATCGGAATTTGGAGTGGCATACCTTAAAATTTTTCTGGCGCAATTCTCTAAAAAACTGCATTCAAATTTAGAAATTAATTTTTTTTACATTTTTTTGTAATTTTTCTGATGTATGATGTTGTAGAAATTTAAACAAATTAGGAAATGCCCCAAGGCTGAAGTTCTAAACTCCATAACTCAACTTATCTTAATCGGAATTTGGAGTGGCATACCTTAAAATATTTCTGGCGCAATTCTCTAATAAACTGCATTCAAATTTAGAAATTAATTTTTTTTTAGTTTTTTTGTAATTTTTCTGATGTATGATATTGTAGAAATTCAAAAAAATGAAAAAATGTCCCAAGGCTGAAGTTCTAAACTCCATAACTCAACTTATCTTAATCGGAATTTGGAGTGGCATACCTTAAAATATTTCTGGCGCAATTCTCTAATAAACTGCATTCAAATTTAGAAATTAATTTTTTTTACATTTTGTTGTAATTTTTCTGATGTATGATGTTGTAGAAATTTAAACAAATTAGGAAATGCCCCAAGGCTGAAGTTCTAAACACCATAACTCAACTTATCTTAATCGGAATTTGGAGTGGCATACCTAAAATTTTTCTGGCGCAATTCTCTAAATAACTGCATTCAAATTTAGAAATTATTTTTTTTTCAGTTTTTTTGTAATTTTTCTGATGTATGATGTTGTAGAAATTTAAACAAATTAGGAAATGCCCCAAGGCTGAAGTTCTAGACCCCATAACTCAACTTATCTTGATCGGAATTTGGAGTGGCATACCTTAAAATGTTTCTGGTGCAATTCCCTAAAAAACTGCATTCAAATTTAGAAATTAATTTTTTTTTAGTTTTTTTGTAATTTTTCTGATGTATGATATTGTAGAAATTCAAAAAAATGAAGTTTCCCAAGGCTGAAGTTCTAAACTCCATAACTCAACTTATCTTGATCGGATTTTGAAGTGGCATACCTTAAAATGTTTCTGGCGCAATTCTCTAAACATCTGAATTCAAATTTAGAAAATTTGTTTAATTTAATTTTTTTGCGATTTTTCTGATGTATGATGTTGTAGTAATTGAAAAATATTAGGAAATGCCCCAAGGCAGGAGTTCTGAACTCCATTTATTATTTTTTTATTTTTTCCCCATTTTCTGCCATATTCCAGAAAACATTGAAATTTCTCGTTTGCACTTCCACTAGCATTCTATCCTGTTTTATTTTCATCTTTACATTAACAAAATAAATGTATAAAAAGGTTAAAAATTCCTGAAAACTAAAATGTATATTTTAATACCGGGTCATCTGTCTTATATTATCGCTTGGGAAACTCAACTTAACAAAATAGGTAGTTCTTATTTAATATTTCATAGAGTAAACTGCTCTAGAACCGTGCGTCTGGTGGGCTCCCCTGATTCCTGTCCCTCCTCGTAGTGGCTCTGCTGCATGCGATGGTTCTTTAAAGCAGTGCCCTGGATAAAGCGCTCTCCGCAGACGCCACATTGGTAGGGACGCTCGCCAGTGTGCCGCCGGATGTGCAGGGTCAGGTCGTTGGATTGCGTGAAGCTCTTTTCGCAGTAGGTGCACTTGTAGGGCCTCTCCCCGCTGTGGATTCGCATGTGCTGCTGCAGCTTGTAGGAGCGGGCGAATCCCTTCTGACACACTGTGCATACATGTGGACGTTCGCCGGTGTGCGTCCGTCGGTGGCACTGGAGATCAGATGAGCGTGGGAAGGCCATGGTGCAGTACTCGCACTTGAAGGGCTTCTCACCGGTATGGCGACGCATGTGGATGATTAAGTTGGAGGAAGAGCTGACCGCCTTGCCGCAGAAAGCACACAGGAAGCGCTTTGGTTCCTTAGGGGATATCGGTCTACTCGAAGTCTTCGCTGGATTCGGTTTGCAGTCGGGCCCATGGAACTTTTTCAAGTGCGCAGTTAGCCGATCTTTGCGGTTGTATTTCCTGGTACAAAGTCCACACTGAAAGACCTGGCCTTCGGCTTTTGGCTCGTCACCAGACGCTTCCTTTAACTCATCCAGCTCCTGATCTTCTGGCTTTTCATGTTGCAACTCCATGTGGTGCAAAAGGTTTGACTCCCACATGAACTTGTAGCCGCAGCGTGTGCAGGTGAACTGCTTTTCCCGGTTTTCGCACTGAGTTCTTTTGTGGTGGGAAATAATTTCCGGACAGACGCTCTTGAATAAGCAACTATCACAGCCGTCGGAGATCTTCTCCATCCGGTGCATAGCCTGCTGGTGTTGATATAGCTCGAATTTGCGCAAACACCTTAGTTGGCACATATTGCAGGTGTAGGATGTAGGGGCTCCTGGTGGTTTTGTGTGTGTCCTGGCGTCTTCATCATCAGTCTCGGAATCATCTAAGTCCATCTCGAAACCCATTTGGTTGGTAATCGAGTAGTTTTGAAGTGAGGAGTAGTCATGGTGACTACCGACGGGCATAGTTTCCAGATGAAGTCGCAAAGCCGCGATGGTGGGAAAGCTAACGTTGCACACTCGGCACTCCACCTTTTTTCGGCCTCCAGGATTCACATATGAGTCCAGTATAGCCTCAGCATAAGGCAACTGGCTAACACTTATCCCATGACGTGCAATATGCTGCAAGAGATTGGCTCTGCGATAAAAGCGACGAGCACACCAACGACATCGGAAAATATTTGATTCCTGACCATGCATTAATGTATGGCGTGTGAGATCCTTTTGCATCCTAAAGCTGCGCTGACACTTTCCGCACTGCAGGTCGCCATCTGCTTTAGGCGAATCTTCCTGGATTGAAAGTTCATCTAGCTGATGAAATACTTCCATATGGAGCTTCAGATTTGCACGCCAGCGGTAACGAAGCGGACACTTGCGGCACTGAAAGAGCTTTTGCGGATTATGGCAAAGAGTTCTGGAGTGGTGATCGAGCAAGGATTCATTGACAAATCTAGCCTGGCAGTTGGAACATACGAGGAATGCCTCCTCCCACTTGTGCTCCTCCAGTTGGTGGGCGTACAGCTGATACTTCCTCTTTACAACCGCCGCACAGAGGTTGCAGGGATAGTTCTGAGATGACTGATCCTCCTCCTGCTCGGACTCAGTATCAGTTTCGCTGCTTTCGAAATTCAGCTCCAGGCCGGCCTCGTTTGTGATGGAAATAAAGCGGTCCAAGTCAATTTGTTTTTGCACATCAGTCATAATCCTTTCGGCCAGTTTATCTCTTTCTAAGGTATTTTCGAGATCTGGGTAAAAGGCTCTCGAGACACTAGGAATATCTCTGTCTTCGGTAAAACTCAGCTCGTATTGATGGGAACTCATGTGAGACCTTAGATCACCGATCTTTGAGTGGCGTGAGAGGCAGATCATGCACTGAATCAGCTTGCAACCATGAGGACGACTTAGCCGGGCCAGAGTCATTTCCTGGTTAACATCAGGTGCGACACGCTGATTATTTACGTAATCTGAATTTCCCGCATGAACTTTTAGATGGGACTTTAGGCCATCCTTGCGGTGGAACCTACGATGGCAGTGGGGACAGTCGAACTGGGCAGCCGACTGAGGCTGATGCAATCGTTTGTGACGATTGAGATCTTTGTGCCAGATGAATACCTACAAAATAAATTGTCAGGATAAATATTGCCAATTTCGAAAATATCATTTACCTTTTCGCACTGGTCGCACTTCAACTTTGTGGGTTGTTGTTCCCCATCTTGCATCTTGTTGTGGTGAGTCTGTTGGTGTTTCTCATAGTTCGACTCCCATATAAACCGGATATTGCAAACTCGGCAGTGAAATCGGGAGTGTTTCTTTTCGCAACGGTGTCTACGATGTTGTTGAAGAAGGGCTTTGCTAACGAAGCCAGATCCACAGTACTCGCAGCGGCAGGGAAGCTCAGTCACCCCATCAGAGTGTGCGCTTATTTGGTGCTGCATCAGGATCGTCAGTGAACTCGAAATATCCCCACATAGAAGACAGATGTGCGATGGCTTTGATGTCTCCTCGTCGCTCAACTCTGTTTCGGATTCAAAAAGATCGAGCTCCTGTCCACTTTCGGTGCTGGCGTTATAATAGCGATCGAAGTCCTGAACCTCGAAATCCTCAGCAATACGAACAGCAAGATCCGAGATACTGCAATTCAATCCGTCAGGATAAAACGACCGAAAGAACAAAGAATTGTACTCCGGATTAATGCCATTCAAATCATGTTGGTGTGTGATTAAGTGAAGGCGAAGTTGCGATAAGCTTGTTAGCGAGGTATCGCAGAGAGAGCACAATATTTGGTTGGCAATCGTTTTCTCCTCGCGGTGCGAGCACGCGTGTCTTTGGAGGTTTTCCGGCCACATAAACCTCCCGGAACATTTACGGCAGCGATATCTTCGTATTTTGCTATGGCAATGCGTGTTCAAATGTTT